ACAACACATTTTCACTATTATTTGTTAATAATAAATTAGAAATTCGTGAAAAGAGCCCTACTTTTAAGCCAAAACGGACTCTGATGTTGCTACCACCAAACCAAAATCAAAAGTATACGCAGAGGACCGAAAAATGTAACCTTTTATCAGGTAGCTCACGTGACAGTGACGTCATCGTACGTCACGATGAGATTGCAAACATTATTTTTCATATTTTAGATCAGAAATTGTACATTTTCGGGGCTAATTTAACAATGGTTAAACAAACTAATTTGTTTTTGCTAACCTCGTGTTCTTAGGAAAATTGTTTTCGGTTTAATTATCACATATTAATAGTTATCATATTTAAACATTATGAATTATATTATGTTTAAATTTTATTTAATTATATCGCGAAAATGTATAGCTTTGACCCACCAACTTCAATCGTTTCGAAAATTTTTCCAAAACTTAAACATTGTCGAATAAACGAATCACGGAATCCGATAAATTAAAACTGAAGTCGTACTTATCTCGTTTTCGGTCCTTTTCGGAAAAATATCCATTTTCGTTCGCGTTCACAGCACTAACACAACATATTTTCCGTAATATTTATTAATAATAAAGTAGAAATTCGCTAAAACGCTCCACTTTTACGCCAAAATGAAGCGACGATCTTGCCGCCATCAAACAGAAATTAATACTGAACACAAAGGACCGCAAAACGTGACTTTTATATAGGTGGCTCACGTGACCTTTAAACAGGTAGCTCACGTGACATTGACGTCATCGTACGTCACCATGACACTACAAAATTTATTTTTCATATTTTGGCCGAGAAAATGCACATTTTCGGGGATAATTTAACACTGTTTCAACAAATTGATCTGTTTTTAATAAATTCGGGTTTGTAGGAAAACGAGTTTCGGTTTAATTATCGTATATTGATGCTCATCATATTTAAACATTATAAATGATATTAATTATGTTTAAAATTTATTTATTTATATCGTGAAAATGTATAGCTTTGATCAACCAGTTTCAATCGTTTCGAAAATATTCCCACAATTTAAACATAGTCGACCGAGCGAATCACGGAATCCGATAAATTAAAACTGAACTCGAACTTAACCTGTTTTCGGTCCTTTTCAGAAAAATATCCATTTTCGTTCGTGTTCACAGTACTAATACAACACATTTTCACTATTATTTGTTAATAATAAATTAGAAATTCGTGAAAAGAGCCCTACTTTTAAGCCAAAACGGACTCTGATGTTGCTACCACCAAACCAAAATCAAAAGTATACGCGGAGGACCGAAAAATGTAACTTTTTATCAGGTATCATATTTAAACATTATAAGTGATATTAATTATGTTTAAAATTTATTATATAATTTATATCATGCAAATGTATAGCTTTGATCAACCGACTTCAATCTTTTCGAAAATTTTCCCAAAATTTAAACATTGTCGAGTGAAGGAATCACGGAATCCGATAAATTAAAACTGAAGTCGTAAGATAATTAGCTTTTATTTATGCATAAATTGTGCAGTGCGTTCTTTCTAACACTGACCATAGAGATTCCCAACTCAAGGTGTCTACCCCATACTAACTTATATTTTGGTGACTCGATTTTTGCCTTGATGGTTGAACACTGTCACTGTTTTCCGTTTTTGTTGGATCGAGATACTACTTGAGCATCAACTGTTACCTACCGAAGTATTAGCATCATCTAGAAAAACTAGAAATATTTTGATTTGATATTCGAGTCGATACTTCGTATTTCGAGTATGAGCATCTACTGAGTTTTATTTATATCAACCATTGTCAAAAATTTGATCGAATGTTGTTTCGACAGAACTTCCTTCGCACCAAAAGTATAATGAAACATATTCAGCATTTTCGAGTTGAGTCTTTTCTTCACACAATTTTGTGATGACCTAATCAACATTTACGATCAACACGTCTACCACCTTGGATTGGTGCAGTGTAATACTAAAAATAACTGTACTGTATTCTTAACAATTTACCATGCTTACAATAACTTTAAAACGTCTGCAAGATCTCAAAGAAGTCATTTCTTCAACTCTTGAGTTATTCTCTAAAATAAATTGAATGATCCATACATTTTTTTGAGTCACTGTAAAAGAAAATCTAAAAAATATGAATGCAATAATAAATTACGAAAATATATTGATGATATTTTGCACATTTTAGATAGTATTTATTCGGCAAAATCTTGAGATGACGTCATCAAGTTTTTGGGCTTGATAAACAGATATATTTTGATTAAAAACCTACCATGTCAAACAGTAACTTCAAAACGTCTGCAATATTTCAAAATTCAGTTTTGAAATTCTTGATTCAATCAATAAAATAAATTGACTTAGTGATTAACTTTTTTGAGACACCCCTTATAAGCAAAACTAAAAAATATGAATGGAATGATAAATCACAAGTATAGTCTCATCCTATTTTGGACATTTAAATTTTTATAAAATGAGACACTCCTGTACTTGTGGTTTATGAATCTGTGTTCAGTTTTGACCCTAAATCATGGTACAACAAGACCGATTGTAGTCAAATTTTGTATGGCCAAACATCCAGATTAAAGAAAAAATCAAAATTGAACAACAAAATTTATAATCTAGGTAACTTTGAAATTGCAAAACCGAGTGTTCTGAAATCTGCAAACATTTTATAGTTGTAAACATGGTGAAGCCTAATCTAAAGTTATCCGTTTATCATCAATCAAATTGTCATTTCAAAAGGTCACGAGCCGCCACTGGTAATCGTCCAAAGTTTAAATCCACGAGCCAGCACTGGTACAGCTTCGTCCACTGCATACTCCTGTATTGTGTGGTGCCTATATTAACGTATTTTGACGTTGACGTTTTGACAGGTTACATTTACGCTATTTAATTGTTTTCGTCAATTTTAAATTATCAAATAAACAAATGCTTCTTTACGAGTTTAAAAATCAACTGAATAAAAAATTTTGGTAATTATAAACAAGTGTTTCTGTAGGAAATAGACAAGTCGAAAACTGACGACTTTAATTATTTGAAGAGGTGAGAAAGTCCACTTAGTTTTTGACTATAATTAAGCAGTAATATTTCTTTATGTTTAGATAAAACATGTCTTTTATGGAGTATTCTATGAAGACTGCTAATGAGAAAATAACCTCTAAAAAGGTCCACGACTGCAAAGTTTGTCCAACATCCTTTTTTCTAATGGTTAATCACGTCACACGTCATCATTCACCACCACAGCATTTTAATTGTGAAAATTCCAACATCGAACTTTTCCACTGCAATGATTGCAGTTTCCAAACAGAACTAACACTTCTCTTCAAACATCACATTAAACGTCATTGCGTTATGAGAAAAAGTGAAGCAAATGTAGCAAATGAGGAAGTGGCTATTCACAACTACGTTTGCGAAAAGTGTAGTTTTAAAACACATTTTGCTATAAAGTGGCTTCAGCATGCCATAGCATGTTCAGCAACAAAAGACACTGCAAATGTCACTTGGTACAGTTGCGATATATGTAAGTACAAGTCCAAATACAAATGGAATGTAAAACTGCATAAAACTATAAAACATTCAAGCAATAATGAAACTTGGCATTACTGTACAGAGTGTCCATACAAAGCTAAACATAAACAGTATTTGCGACGCCACCTAAAAACGCATGAATCAAAATTTATTAAATGGTATGAATGCAAAATGTGTCCATATAAAGCTAAACAAAAAATAAACCTAGAGAACCACATAAACGCGCGTCATTTTGATGAAAGAGAAATTGTATGGTATGAATGTGAACAATGCCCACACAAATTTAAACGCAGCGATCATTTAAAAGAACATATTATTGCGAGGCATTCGAGCGAACAAGATATTAAGTGGTTTGTTTGCAAGATGTGTCCATACAAAGCTAAAAGAAATTACGATTTAAAAGTTCATATAAATAGGCGTCACTTGCGAGAGGGGGATATTACGTGGTATGAATGCAAAGTGTGCTCATACAAATCCAAAACTAATAATAATTTGAAGAGACACATGAAGGAGCTCCATTTTCAACATTTGGAGGAACACAGTGTTAAATGGTATGAATGTAAAACGTGTCCTTATAAAGCGAAACAAATGTCTGATTTGAAATGTCACATCAATGTGCACCATCTGGAGGATAAGGATATTAAGTGGTATGAATGTAAAATGTGTACATTTATGAGTAAATATAACTCATCTTTAAATAGACACATAACTACATATCATATAAATAAAACAGATATTAAATAGTGTAAATGTAAGAAAATGCAGTCATTCATCGCAGCGGTGCCTAATTTAAACATAAATTGTGAGTGCTGGTTTTTTGTTGTGTTGTTTTCTACTTTAGAGTCAACAACTAACCCATTATATAATTGAAATTTAAATAAGTGTATTTTAAGATTGTAATAAAATGTTAACCAAAACTGTTTAACTCTCAATTAAGATGTGCACGTAACTTTTTAGACCTTTCAATGTAGCCATCATCAGGAAATTTTAAAAATTACTGGTAAACAAAATTTATCGATCGTTAATTTCTCAGCTTTCAATGAAAAAAGTCATCTTTAGCCTAGTATGCTATAATAGTGTTTTAATTTTGCGCTCTCATTAGAAAAAGTCACGAGCCGCCACTGAAACAGTTTTACAAAACTCTTCTCTTCACAACAAAGACTTCTTTCTTTATATACGTTCTTTATTCTACCGAATGATGAAAAATAGTATCGTTTGATTTAAACACTCATTAGACTGCCCAAACAGCCTTATTTTTATGTTAGAATTTATTTATTTCGTTAAGGCAAACTTTTTCTTTCAAACCGTTTGCCGAAATTGTTATAAATACGAATTAATAAATTGGCAAAACTAAAAAATGCATATTTTTATTAACACCTACTACAATCCATGCCTGCAAAGGTCCAAGTTTTGTGGGTTGCATATATAAAACAAAATCTTCCATTTTTGAGGTTATGTAAGAATAACATTGAAGAATAAACAGTTTGCGAATTTGCTATTAACCAAAATAGAAACAGAAAAGCAACAAAAGACATAAAAGCTGTTTAAACAATATAATAAATCATTTGTGAACAAATTGCAAAACGAAATATAAACCCTTTTTGGTTTTTAATAATCTGAACAATTGTACAGGAGAAAATTAGGTAAGAAAAGATTCACACGCTATTTGTTTCATTAAATATATAAATTACTTTAGGTGTGCTGAATATGTCAAGTATGGAATCTTCCGACACGCACATTTCCGTGAAAATAACCCCCACAAGTGCCCGCGATAGCAATACAACTTGCAAAGATTCACCACTGAAAGATTTTAATTTGCACGAGTCGGACCTGACTTACTATTGCAAAGATTGTGATTTCCAAACAGATACAATCCTTCTTTTCAGACAACACCTGGAAAAATTTCATACAAAGGTAAATAAGGTCGAAAGAGTTTCATATAATTGTCCGAAGTGTTCATACAAAAGTAAACAAAAAGGAACTTTACGAAGGCACGTCATTGCCAGGCATTCAAATGGAAAAGACATCAAATGGTACCAATGTGACGACTGCCCGTACAAAACTAATGAAAAAGCTGCTTTAAATAAACACATTATAGCCCGACATCTGGATGAGCGTGACATCAACTGGTATGAATGTGAAAAGTGTCCCTATAAAGCCAAAGACAGTTCTTCGCTAAAAAGACACGTTAACGTACGGCATTTAGACGAAAAAGATATCAAGTGGTATGAATGCAAACATTGTTCGTACAGAGCTAAACAGAATTCTGATTTGAAAAAACACATAAATGCACATCATTTGGATGGAGAGGAAGTCACGTGGTACAAATGTGAAGCTTGTCCATATAAAACCAAACATCAGCCTAATTTAAAACAGCACGAAAAGGCGCGACATTTAGAAGAAAGCGATATTGAATGGTATGAATGTGAAGAGTGCCCATACAAAGCCAAACAAAAAATTCATTTAAAGAATCACATTAATGCACATCACTTGAATGACGAGGAAATTAAATGGTATTCGTGCAAAAAGTGCGCATACAAAGCCAAGAAAGAATCGAACCTAAAAAGGCATATAAATGCGCAGCATCAGGAAACGCAAGATATTAAGTGGTATAAGTGTGAAAAGTGTCCCTTCAAAGCTAAGCAAAATGTTTACTTAAGAAAACACTTGCGTAGGCGTCATTTAGATGAAGAAGATGTTATTTAGTTGAAATGCATCTTTTGTTTATAATTGTAGTTTTTATCTTTTGGTGACATCATTGTATTCGAACTTGTTGAGATATAAGGATTAAATATACTAGATTTTGTATTAGAAGTCTTACTTGTTACATAAAACCTCATTTTTTTAGATTTGCTTATACAGGTGGCTCAAAAAAAATTAATGAATGAGTCAATTTATTTTATTGATTAAATCAGGAACGGCTCACACCATTTCCCAAAAAAATTGAGAATACACTACTGTTATTTTTAGTATAACACTGCATTAATCCAAGTTGATATACGTGTTCTTGCAAAAAATGTTGATGACGTTATCGCAAAATTGTGTAAACAAAAAACTCAACTCGAAAATGGTGGATAAGTTTCATTGTACTTCAGGAGCGAGCAATTTTTTCATATGTTCTAAGTAAATTCATATATCTAAAATATGGATAGGCTGCTACGTTTCTTAATATTTTATAAATCTATGTTTCTCATTTTATACTTACTTTGTGGTGAATGTTGCGATTTGTAAAATAATGCATATGAGGTTAAAAGGTTCCCAACTAAACATCACATGTATAATGTTGTGTCAACTTTGTCATTATCATCCTCAATTTGCAATAAATTCTAATTTCGATAGTACATTGTACTTACGAGAAATAAATTTGCGATAATCTTAATGGTCAGATATACAAAGTATGAACAGGTGGAATAGTTGGATTATAACTACCTGTCCTAAAAGCCGTTAAGGGAAGTTGTTATCTTATTATTAAAAAGTTTATAATTCTAGAGAATCTACTAATGGTAAAAAAATGAGTTAAAAAAATCACCAGTGCAGTTGGTCAAGTTCATTTGAGTATTATACCGGTTGTCTGAAAAATGGCGAATTAACTTTCCGCTACGCTCTTAACAATCAACTGGTGAGTCTAGCAAAAATAGTAAAAAAAACCCTGCTCACATTTTGGTGGAGTTATAATGATTTTAAAATTGGTTCTTTTGCTACGTTTAACTAAACAACACATTCGTTCTCTTGTCCATGACCACGTTTAATTACCATTTCAGTTAGAATGTACAAATATATGGTTGTGTTGTTGCTGTAATCATTTGATAAAATTCCATTTGACAACAATATTTACCTTATGATGATATAAAATGTCTACGATGTACGGAAAAAATGGTTGAAGGTTATTTCGACAGAACTTATCTCGCTTCTAAAGTACATTAAAACATATCCACCTTTTTCGAAAAATTATAAAATTTGATTTTGCGAATTTAATTTTTTTATGAGAACCCCTATAAGTGAAAATAAAGATATGTATGTATAGAATTTTGTGACGACGTCATCAAGATTTTTGCAAGGTCACGTATATCAGTTTCGATAGGTGCAGTGTAATACTAATTAATAATAACAGTACCTATTGTAGTCTCAAATTTTCGGGAAAAAGGAGTGAGCCCTTCTTGATTTAATCAATTAAATAAATTGACTCATTCACTAAATTTTTTAAGCCACCCGCTATAAGCAGTTCTAAAAATTGGTCTAAAAAGTTTAGACGGTACTTCCCTCGCTGTCGAAAACGTGACGACTGCATGCCTATTATGTTTTTTTTTCGCAGTAGATTTCAAAGCATTTGGTTTTGTAGTTCCTGAGTAATTTAATAAATTTACGCATTCATTATTTTTTTGTGGGTCACCTGTATATGCAAATCCAAAAACTATGAATAGTATGATAAATTACAAGTACAGACTCATCATATTTTGGATATTTTAGATAGGATTTATTCGGCAAACGTTTGAGCTGACGTCATCAATTTTTTGGAGGGGATATTTTGACTAAAAATTTATTATGCTTTTTATAACCTTAAAACATCTACAAGATTTCAAAGCATTTGGTTAGCGTTTTACTATCTACATGATATTTGTAATATAAATACAAAATTTGACAACAATCGGCCCGGTACTTTCGGCAGGGAACGGCAGACGGACGGACAGACGGAAACGGGAGACCTATTTCTTCTCGATTACAATACTTCCTTTGCTTACGCTCGGGAAGTAAAAAATATGAATGCAGTGTTAAATAGTAAACCACAAAGTATAGACTCATCATATTTTGCATTTATTTTGTAGGATTTAATCGGCAAAATTTTGAGGTGGCTTCTTTGGGGGGATAAATAGATACATTTTGATAACAAATTTACCATGCTTGCGATAACTTTTAAACGTCTGCAAGACTTGAGAGCATTCGGTTTTGCAGTTTCTAATTTAATCAATAGAACAAATTGGACTCATTCGTAATTTTTTTTTGAATCACATGTACAAGTACTAAAAATATGAATGCAGTGATAATTCACAAATATAAATTCATCATATTTTGCAGGATTTATTTGTCAAAGTTTTGAGATGACGTTATCAGTTTTTGAGGGGGAATAAACAGATATACATATTTTGATTAAATATTTACCATGTTCTCGGTAACTTTGAAATGTTTGCATGATTCCAGAGAATTTGCACTTCCAAAATTAAATTGCAAAGTGTTGTTATACAATTTAGATTTTTTCCAAAAATTTACGTATGGGGCAAAAACTCACACGGATTCGTAAACTACACGTGTATGAGTATGTCATTTTATTAAATTTAAAACACATTCACTACGTTAAATTTTGAAATGACGTCATCACATTGTTGTTGCGGATGATTAGACATAGTTTGGTTAGTGTTATACCATCTACACATGGAGGAAGGAATATAATATAATATATAATATATTCCTTCCTCCATGCATCTACACGATATTCATAGCATAATTTAAAATTTGACAACAATCGGTCTGGTAGTTTCGAAGATTATTATTAACTCGACACAGACGGCGGACAGACAGACAGCCAGACGGAAACGGGAAACCTATTTATTCGTACCCCAGGGGTCTTGGTGCATGACCCCTAGGTTATCGATGTGTATCGAGGAAACAAGAAAGTAACCAGTCGCCCGATAAACTCGATTATAATACTTCCTCGGGAAAAAGTATGAATATAATATGAAAAATATAAACTTGTGGTTTATGAATGCATATTCATATTTTACAAATTTTAGATAGGATTTATATATAATTGAAGACTTCAATGCATTTGGTTTTGCAGATTAAAAAATATATTGCAAAATGTGATAAAAATGTTATTTTTTTTTTTTTTCAAAAATTTGGTCTCGGATCAAAACTCAACGCTGTTTCGTAAATGACAAGTGCAGGAAACGTCCCAAGATATACACATATTATGTATTTTTTAAGTTCAAATTATGAGTATGTATTTTATTTGTCCATAAATTTAATGCTTACTTTCTAATTTATTATTGGTCGTGATAATATAATTACGGAGGGCCTGGGCCATTTCTATCTATCCAGTTGGGTTGGGACTTTTCTTTCGATTCTTTCAGGGAAAAATTAGAACTGGCATTGTGATTTGTGCAACTAAAAGAGGTTGTGATTTAAGTGTTCAATCCTGAAAGAACGATCAACGAGAACGAAATCATAGTGTGTAGATAATCAGGCCCTTTTAGTTCCTTTATTCGCACTATAAACATTCAGATTTTTATTCTCACGACAATCATCTGAACTTTCATTCGTCGTATTAAAGAAGCTACTTTTAATAATGTTCAGCTGATTATATTTACCTAACTGTAACATTTTTTCTGCTTAAGAAAAAAAAAAAAGAGTTGCAATTTGTGCATACTGTTATGTTGGCGTGGGTTAAACTCAACAATTTATTTCTCGATAACTGAAATTTACACGTCTAATTATTACACAGCGATTGTGTACAAAATAATTCCGGTACAGGCTAGAAAGTTCTCGACGGCCCATAGGCGTCGTACCGAGGCGGCGTATGGGTTTATTTCGTAACAATATATTCATTCTCTTATATTTTTCAGATGAGTCAACTAAAACACTTTTGCAGAATTTTATAAACGGATTGTGCGCTCTCCTCACTGTAGCAGTTGACCGTAAGTATTGTGTACGGTTTATGGTTAAAAAAGCACAGTTTAAGATTCCTGTATACCAAACACGTTTCCACTTTTTTCGGTTTTTTAGTTGTCAAGCGCACAGAACGTTGATATATTGCAGATCAAAATGTGCATTTTCACTTTCCGAGAGTAAGCTAAAGAAGTATTGTAATCGAAACCATCGGCTACTTTCATGTTTTCTCGACATTTCATGACCTCTAGAGTACGAAAAAATGTCTCCGTTTCCGTCAATTGTCTGTCTGTGTGTCCGTAGATGGTAAAACGCTAAACAAAATTTCTTTAATCACCTCCACCAACAACGTGACGACCTCCCCTCAAAATGTTGTGTAATAACTAATAAACAGAGGTACACAGGTGACTTAAACTTTTTCTGTAGAAATTTTACGAACTCGCACACTACCGCATTGTTTTAATGTTGTTTATAGTAATAAATAAATAATTTATTTTATTTTAGTTGCAGGATAACGCTAATAAATAACAATTCGTCCCTGCGGCTGTAGCACTAACGATTTGTATTGGAATATTGTATTACTCTTTATGTTGGAAATAAACTACTGAACACATTTTTGTTTGTTTTCTTTCGTTATATAGAGCCACACTTATTTATCTGAGTTGCAAATAGTTTGATAGTATTATATAATTTAATTTTGCGAATTTTATTTTTACTTCTTCAGCGTAAGTAAGCAAAGAAAGTATTGTAATCGAGTATATTGGGGGGCGACTGGCTACTTTTATGTTTTCTCGACATTTCATGGCCCCTAAAGTATGAGAAATTAGGTCTCGCGGCTTAGTCTGTGTACCCTCTGTTCAGATTTTTATTAGGCGGATAATCTTTAAAACTACCGGTCCGATTGTATTTTATATGTATGTTAAGAATATCGTGTAGATGGTAAAACTCTAACCAAAATTTGCCCAATCTCCCTTCAGTGTCAAGACATCTAAAAAATGTTTATAATAAATTTTATAAAATAGCATACTCTTGTATTTGTTTTATTGAATACAAATTCGCAAAATCAATTTTTTTAATTTTTCGAAGAAGCGGGATTTGTGGCACTGCACTTTGGGGCGAGGGAAATCCTGTCGAAATAACTTTCTATCTATCTA